GTCTAAAGAAAAAAAAAAAAAAAAAAAAAAAAGTAACTTCAGGAGGCAGTAGAATCAGTTAGAACTTGGTTTGGAGTTTCTTCTCTTCCCTTTTCAAGCTGTGTGTCCGTGGGCAAGGCAGTAACCTCTCTGAGCCTGTTCCCTTGTTGTGAAATGTGATGCAGGGTAATAATAATAGTACATATTTCACATGGATGATCTCTGCATTAAAGGAGATGAGGTTTATAATATATCTGACACAGAGTCAGTGCTCAATAATTGTTAGGTTTTATTATTAGGTCATTAGGAAAGTCATGATGTATTTTTCTATGGTTTTCTATGCCAAAATGCATCATGACTTTCCTGATCGCCCAATAGTATTACTGTAGTTAGGTTGAACCATACAAAAGTGCTACTCTTGTAGGTTAAAATGGTTGAATATTGCCAATACTATATGGTTCAACCTAATACTATTATTTACTCTCGTTCCTGTGAGACATTTTGTTCCTGAAGAGACCAGATAAAGTCCATAAAGGGTGATGCCTATCAAAGGCCCCACTCTTTTATTTTAGCCGTTTGACAGCATTGGTGACTGGTGACTGTCAGCCCTGCAGTTGGGATAAATGTGGATTATTCCTTTCAATCTGTGATGGGAGATTTCCTATCTGGACCTTTTCAAGTTTATCATCCCAAGGCTGAAAATGAATGACAGGAGTAATATTCCTCTCTTCTTTCTGTCTTTTGGATACCACATTAACATCATCAGGCAAAACTGGACCACCTCCATCCCTGAAGCAAATCAAAACAGTGGCATTATGATAGTTTATACATGTTGGGGGGCTTATGCAAACATCCAAAGTTTCTACATTGCTAAATGAAATAAAATTTGGAGGTCACTTTTAATCTTCAGGTTGTAGAGTCATGAAGTCGAGAGATGGAGATTTGTAGATGATTTTGACAAAAGAAAAGGTTAGTGTAAGGGCTGCTCCACTGTTATTTTAGCAATGTGTAATAGTTTTCTATCTGGCAAGTCAAAGAAGAATCTGGCGTCAAATTTTAGGTATCTTTCATCACCAAGAGATAAGTCAGTTCCACTAGTGAATTAATCAAAAAGCCACTGTGTCCAGGCACTCAGAAAGGCAGAAGCTGAAGCTGCCTCCCTTTTCCTGTTGAGAAAGGAATTGTGGAGTTGGGAAAAGTCCAGCCAAGTGAACATTGGTCCTGAGAGGGAGGGATCAGTTCAGGACTCTGGCCTGGGTTTTTGATAAGTTTTCAAAGGAGGCCAGATTCCCTGAGGGGTGGAGCACAGTGTCATACAGCAGCTACCAGTGGGATGATTCACTAATGCTCAGTCACGTGGGAGCTATCACACATACCTCATCAAGATCTGATGGGAAAAATGTAGTTCCTTGTCTGGTAGAAAGAGGTTTGCTTGACTTGGCAGTCATTGACAATCTGGGTACCTACTTTATTCATGCTAGTTGAATACTATTCACCTTGAATAAAGAGATTTTTTTCAAATTTTTTTGTCTCTTTTCCCTTTTCTAAGTTCTTTTATCATTCATATGCCTAAAACATAAGGTTCAGATTTAGGTACTAAAGTACTTTTTAATTAAAAAATTTCATTCTAATAAAATTCTTTGTGTAATAAGACTCCCTAGCCCTCTAACTGGAGCAATACCTAATATAATAAGAGACCTGGACTTTTTCCATGGTGATCTTAATTTATGGTATTCAACTGTGTATTTTCTACAGTGTCCTTGGGGAACAAATGCAGCTTCTAAACAAGAATTATCAAGGATACTTGGGTCAGAGTGACCCTTCAATAATATATAGGACTTGTGCTTAGTGGAATTGTGAGGTTGGTGAAATTTACATTCAAAGCCTACCTGGCACCATTATCACATTTCCAGGGGCTGGTCTTCAGCTTCGCAGGCTGGGAAACCTCATTTCCTCAGCTCATATCCACTTCTCAAGGAGCATTTTCTTGCTCCCCTGTAAAGAAAACCATAATGATGAAGCATTTAAGGAAGACTTCCATCAGCATAACTGGTGTGTGTTCCATTTCTGTAGACAGAGCCTATATGGGAAGCCAAATCATAAGTAGGTTTCTTGGCAAGGAATCAAGAATTAGTTGTGAAAATGTACTTGGCTAAGAATAGCTGGAGGCCCCACTGAGGTTAAACATTGCTGGTGGGACAGAAATACTCAGTATCCACATAGCCAAATCACCCCCTCTTTTCTGCCTGCCAGATTTTTGCTCACAGACATTTCTTTTTCTGTTCTGTCAGGCCTAACCAGCTCCCTTTACAGAGAGCTGTCTTGACTGGCTTAAGAGCAGTTCTCTCTCTATAAGATGATTTTTGTCCCTGTCTTTGTTATATTTATTCATTCTTGATTGCTAGCTACTTCTCAGAGGGCATCCTTTTGTCCTGGTTCTGGAGTATCTCAGAGTTGCCCTCACGCTAAGCTGACACCAGGCATGTGAAATGGCAGAATAGCTCCCTAGGGTGGGAAAAAGAGCTAACCATGACAAATGTTCTCCTTCGTGGCCATCGGCACGTATATAAAAGGAAATACTATCTTAAGCTTGAGTCAGAAACTATTGCAAAACAGGAAGCGCCCTCCTTGGAGCTCTGATTAATATAGCTCTATTCTTAATTATTCCAACTCTGTCACCTTGGGGAATGTTCATTTCTTAGAGAGCCCTTTTTATCTCATTATTTAAAATCGTAATAACCAGATTTGTGGTTTATATCTGTATGATATCAATAAGTTGGCTTTCTGTGGTTCCACAAAGCTTATCTGCTTTTCAGAATAAGAGTGTATATACTAAGTGTATAGAGCACTTCTTGAAATTTATATGCACGTGTGAGATAATCAAAATTGTCTGACCCGTATAGGAAGGTTCCAGGTTCACATCTGGAGACCTTCCTGAGTATTCCTGTCATACACGTGTTTATGATCCAGATGTAGCTGAAGCTGAGTGTGGATCATGATGTCAAGACATTTTTGGGGTGCCATCTCTCACTCTTCCTCAGTTATGGAAGAAATAAATAAACTTAAAAATACATATTTAAAAAACAATTGTCATACAGTACAGAGAGATTTTTTTTTTTTTGGAGAGGTTTTTGCTATAGGGTGCGTGCGTTCGCCAGACAGACAGAGAGAGACATAGAGACAGAAAGCGAGAAATCACCCCCCAGGGGGGATGGTCACACCACAATCCCTTCTCCATTCTCCTCTCGGGATCTTGGGCATGCACGCACACGCGCCCTGCATGAGTTTTAAGCCACCTGGTCTGGGACGTGAACCGCCATCGACTATGTGGGAGTCCAGTGACATAGCCCTCACTGCTGGTTCCAGTACAGAGAGAAGATTAATGGAAAGTCTCTCTTTGATTCTCAGACCCCTTCTTTTACCTTTGCATTCTTTCCTCAGAGGTAACCACCATTACTAGATATATCATTATTATTTTAGGTTTTTGCCATAGGACACATGCTTTGTCATAGGACATGTGCACTTGCCAGAGAGAGAGAGGGAAAGTGAGAAATCACCTCCTAGCGGGGATGGCCATGCTAGAAGCGGCCATGGTTCCTTCTCCATTCTCCTCTTGGAATTCTGGGCACATACGCTCACATGCCTGTCGTGGTTTTCAAGCTGCCATGTCTGGGACTCAAACTGTGGTCAGTCATGGGAGAATCTAGCACCTTAACCACTATACCACCTGCTGGCCTCATAATTACTGGATTTTTTTTTCCAAGGTATTTTGTTTTCCATAGGGTGCGTGCACTCAGAGATAATGAAAGACAGAGGGGGAAAGTGAGAAATTACCCCCTGGGAAAATGGCCATGCCGCAATCCTTTCTCCTCCATTTTTGCCTCAGGATTTTGGGCATGCACACACATGCACCCAGCATGATTTTCAGGCTACTGGGTGTAGGACTCAGACCACAGTCTACTATGTGGGAGTTCAGTGCCTTAACCACCATGCCACCTTAAAACAGTCCTTCTATACCATGATCTTGTTGGTATACTGCATCTGTTTGGAAATGAATTTTGTTAAGGGTATTGTGTTTCCTTACACAGCTGGCATGTTAGCATGGTAGATTGATAGGTAAATTTCATAATTTCTATACATTTAAAATGTGGGAAATTGTTTTTTATTTATACCAGGAACACCAGGGCACCTCAGTGGTGGCATCAACATTTGGTATAGGAAAATGCAGTGTCCCTGGCCTCCACCCACTAGATGCCAGCAGCCTCCCCTTCCCAAGTTAGGATGACCAAAAATGTCCCTAGATATTGCCAAATATCCCTGAGGATGACAGGAGGAGCAAAAGCAACCTTATTTGAGAATTACTGATCTATACCATTTGAGAACTTACCTTTTTTTATACATATGGGTATGCTAATTTTATTTTGAAATTTTTATTATTATTTATACCTTCGATCATTATACATCATTTAGTTTGTAAAGAGATTTTACCCAGCATGATACAGGGTACATGCACTCACCAGAGAGAAAGAGAGTCAGAAACTGAGAAGTCATCTCCCAGGGGAGAGGGCCACACTACAGTCCCTTCTCCTCCACTCTCCTCTCGGGATTTTGGGCACACATGCACATGTGCCTGGCGTGATTTTAAGCTTCCAAGTCCAAGACTTGAACTGTGGTCAACTACCTGAGAGTCCAGCAACGTGACCATTATGCCATCTGCTGGTCCCATAGGTATGCTAGTGTTTTTATTTGAGTGTATTTCTGTGTGTTTGCCATAGCAATGCCCTCCTTATTTTCTAACTTTAGGAAATTACTCTGGAAACTCATCGTTCAAAAGAAGTGCCCCTGAACGAGAGGATTTGTCTACAGGTGGGGTCCCAGTGTAGCACCAATGAAAGTGAGAAACCTAGCATTTTGGTGGAAAAATGCATCTCACCCCCAGAAGGTAACAACTGAAAGTTCAAACTCTTGGTATTTAGAGAATAAATCTACATGCTTCATATGCTTATGTTCATTGTTCATTAATTCACTTGATTGTCAAATATTTTGCTGAGTCAATAAGTGCCAGGCACTGTACAAGGTGCTGACAGGACAGTGATAGGTATGAGAATCTCTCAGCCTTCAAAGTACTTACGGATGAATTGAATGACAATGACAGATGGTGACGTAGCACTTGGTATATTTGAAATATGGAGTGTGTTTGCATGCATGCACATGTATGTGCACATGCATACACACACACACACACACACACACACACACACCCCTCTCTTAAATTGAACCTCACAAGCTTATCTTGTAAAGTGAGTAGGGCATGTACTGTTAACCTTATCCATTTTATGAGGAAGAAGGAAATTAAGCGACTTGTGCTATATCTTCAGATTCTAGGCCTAGTGCTTTAAAAAAAAAAAAACAACGATCTTACTTGTATATGGAAAGTAGTTTGATATACAGGATATATTTGGGGAGCAATATTACAAAAGAAAGGTAGGCATGCTGACCCAGCTCCAATACAAGACTAGCCCTAGGAGAATCTGTCACGTACCCAGGTTGATCATTGTTCCTCAGTCCCATATCACCCAGTGTCCTCTGGCTCTGACATTATATCCTGAGAGTAGTGGATACTGATTAAGATTGGGACTTTTGGGGACCAGCTTTCTCTCTCTCTTCTTTTTTTTTTATTATTTAGAAATTTGTGCTATAGGACACGTGTGCTCACTGGAGAGACAGAGAGAAAATGAGAAATAACCCCTGGAAGGGGATGGCCATGCCCCTCAGTTCCTTCTTCTCCATTTTCTTTTTGGGATTTTGGGCACACACTGGTATGCACCCAGCATGAGTTTTAAGTCACTGGGTCCAGGACTTGAACCGTGGTCAGATATGTGGGAGTCAAGCACCTTAACTGCCGTGCCACCTACTGACATCAGGGGATAAGTTCTCCTGAGTTTAAATTCCAACTCTGCTAGTTGTATGACCTTAGGCAGATTATTTACTCTCTGGCATCTCAGTTTCCTTGTCTGTGAGATGGGGATGATGATGGTACCTACATCCTACAATTGTTGAGAGGATTGCATGAGTCAATATATATGAGGAAAAAGAAGAAAATATATATATGTGCATCTTAGAACAGTACCTGGCAAAGAATAAATGCTGTCTACATATAACCTGTTAATATCATTATATTCCTTGGTTGGACAAGGCAGACAGGGCCCCATCTATCCCCTCTAAACCTTAACACCATGTGGCCTATGCTCCAGGCTATTCTCTCAGCCTACCTTGCACTGATCAAAGCTATAAATTACTCTTAGTAAAATTATAAAATTATTAAATTCAGAACAGCAGTGAGGCTGCTTTAAAACTATTTGCTGGCCATGTTTCCATTTCTTTAGGAGTTTAATAATTAGGAAAAAAACCCTGTAATATAGAATGATTCATGATGACTTAATGCAGTACTCCTTCAAGAATCTTGAGGAATAATGAGTTTCTATTTTATTTTATTTTGTTTTGTTTTGTTTTATTTTATTTTATTTTATTTTATTTTATTTTTTACAAGAGTTAAGCCCTAGGACACTTAATTCTATTAATAGCTATAGCTATGGCAGGAATTCCAGATGTTTAAATAGGACAGGAATCAAGGGTCACCATCATCCATCACCCCAGGCATAAGGAACAACTTACTTCTTGCCAGATTTCTTAACCGCCACTCCCCCACCCCCGCCGTGGCCAAGGGGCCCTCCCCTTCTGCCTTCTCTTTCAGCTCCTCAAGCTTCTCCTGCTCTCCTTTTTGCTGCTGCTGGAAAGCTTATCCTTCTCTTCCATCCCCTTGGCCTGCTTCCTGGGCAGTTTCACGGGCTTCTTCTGCCAGCTTCACTGCCAGATGTCCTGCCTATTGCAACTTTTTGTTTCCATTTTAAACAGAGGCATTTAGTTTAGAGATATGATACCTTAACAAAAATGGCCTTCTGGAAGATAGAGAGTTCAGGTCAGAAAGATTTTAGGGCTCCTAAAGTCACAGCACATAGTAGGCAAGTACTAAGGGTTAAATTATGTTTATCTTTCTCCAGAATTGTTCCAAGAGGAAGAGGTTTACTTTTTAAAACAAGATGTATCAGTACTGAGCAAAAGACGTGAAGATAAATTGTACTTCAGTATGGGTATATTTTTTTAGAGAGAGATTTTTGCTATAGAGCATGTGTGCTCACAGGAGAGACAGAGAGACAGAAAGCGAGAAATCACCCCCCTGGGGTGGGGGGGATGGCCACACCACAGTCCCTTCTCCTCCATTCTCTTCTCGGGATCCTGGGGACGTGCACATGCACCTGGTGCAAGTTTTAAGCCACTGGGTCTGGGACTGCAGTCAACCACATGGGAGTCCAACAATGTAACCATTCTGCCTTCTGCTGGTCTCAATATAGATTTTTTTTTTTTAAGATGTAAGGATTGTAGCACCAGCAGGTGGGGTGGAGGTTGGGACGCTGGACTCCCACACGGTCAATCACAGTTCAAGTCCTGGACCTGCTGGCTTGCTTTCTCACTTTCTCTCTCTCTCTCTCTCTCTCTCTGATGAGTGCACATGCCCTGTAGAATATTTTTAAAAAAATGATGACAAGTTAAGTTAAATGGATAATTCTTTTTTAAAAAAGAGAGAGAAATGGGTTGTTTGTATTCCATATTCATTTAGGAATTTTGTAGACATTGCCTATGATTGAAATATTATTTGACCTTTAATTTCTGCTTCTAGCTAGTAACCTCTCTGCTGTTAGGAAGTATAAGAGTTATGGTCTCTTGGAGAGAGCAGAGCTGTTTTTCTGTATCAAGAAGTGAGAAAGAAGGTTGTGAACAAATTAAATTTGAATTTTCTCTGTTTTAGGTCCTTCTGGGTAATCCGGGGTTAGGGATAAGCTTTCAGGTAAAGCAGCTTGAAACTCCCTCCTGTCCCCCAGGCTACTGAACCAGTTGGTTAGTTTGCATTACAAGGAAAGGAGAGTCCTAAACTATGGCCTGTATATTCTAGGCGATCCAGAGTCAGCCGTGACTGAGCTCCAGTGCGTTTGGCACAACCTGGGCTACATGAAGTGTTCTTGGCTCCCTGGAAGGAATACAAGTCCTGACACCAACTATACTCTCTACTACTGGTGAGTATGGATTGTAGAGTTAATGCAGGACTGACTGTTGGGAACTTTTAGATCCAACCTAATTTTTTTTTAAAGTATTAATTTTTTTTCTGCAGACACCAAAAGATGGACAGTGGGCTTCAATGGAAAGTAACATCTACTTTTGAGAAAAACCTGCATTTTTGGGTCAGCTGGTGGCATGGTGTGTTGAGGTGGTAGGATCTCACATGGCCGACTAAATGGATCAAGTCCCAGACTTGATGGCTTAAAAACACTCTTAGGTGCATGTCTGTGCTTGCCCAAAATCCTGAAAGGAGGGATAAACAGAGGAGAAGAGATTACAGTATGACTATTCCCCACTCCCGCCATCCCCTACCACAAGCAGATGTGCCCTCTGGCAAATAAAAAAATTATATTTTAAAATACAGATCCAAGGGATGTTACAAAACAGGTACAGGGCCCCTTATATGCTTCATCCAATTTCTCACAGTGGTAACATCTTGTGTAACTATAGTGAGGTATCAAAAGCAGGCAGTTGGCATTGGTATAGCCCACCAACCTTATCATCCCAGTTTTTACTTTTTTAAAGATTTATTTATTTATTTAAATTTGCTACAGGGCACATTTGCTCGCCAGAGAAAGTGAGAAAGATCCGAGACTTGAACCGTGGTCAGCCATGTGAGAGTCCAGCACCTCAATTACCACGCCACCTGCCAGCCCCTCAGTTTTTTTATTTTTTAAGAGAGATTTTTGCTATAGGGCGCATGCACTTGCCAGAGAGATAGAGACAGAAAATGAGAAATCACCCACCCCTCCAAGAAGGGATGGTCATGCTGCAATCCTTTCTCCTTCATTCTCCTCTTGGGATTTTGGGCATGCACACACATGCCTGGATTGAGTTTCAAGCCTCTGGATCCAGGACTGGAATCATGGTTGGCCATGCGATGGAACTATCTGCTGGTCGTGATATTTCACCAGTTTTACATGCATGCACTCTGTGTGTGTGTGTGTGTGTGTGTGTGTGTGTGTGT